TACACCACTCATCATACACCACTCATCATACACCACTCATCATACACTACTCATCATACACCACTCATCATACAGGACTCATCACACACCAGTCATCATACATCACTCATCATACACCACTCATCATACACCAGTCACCATACACCACTCAGCATACACCACTCATCATACACCACTCATCATACACTACTTATCACCCAGTTTGCTCTACCTCCAGTTGGCTCTAGTGTCAATAGCTCTAGCTCCAATAAGCTCTTAGTTTCAATTTTCAATAGCTCTAGCTCCAGTCAGCTCTGGTTTCAACAGCTCAAGCTCCAGGCAACTCCAGCTCCAGGTGCAGATTTCGTGGCAGGTGCAGCACTTTGTGAACCTCCATGTGTAGATTTCGTGGCAGGTGCAGCACTTTGCGAACCTCCATGTGCAGATTGCGTGGCAGGTGCAGCACTTTGTGAACCTCCATGTGCAGATTTCATGGCAGGCACAGCACTTTGTGCACCTCCAGATTTCGTGGCAGGCGCAATACAAAATGCGTTGTGGAGAGATAGCGAACGCACAAAATGCTGTATTTTTCAATGGAACCGGTGGCTCCGAAGCTGGCAAGTCAAGGTCTGCGGAACGACGGGTGCGAGACGGTCTCGGATCATTCTCGGAATCGTCCCTCCATTGGGATTAGAGTTTTCACTTGTTTCTTGAAGTGCAGATTTCGTGGCAGGCACAGCACTTTGTGAACCTGCATGTGCAGATTTCGTGGCAGGCACAACACTTTGTGAACCTCCATGTGCAGATGTCGTGGCAGGTGCAGCCCTTTGTGAACCTCCATGTGCAGATTTCCTGGCAGGCACAGCACTTTGTGAACCTCCATGTGCAGATGTCGTTGCAGGTGCAGCACTTTGCGAACCTCCATGTGCAGATTTCGTGGCAGGTGCAGCACTTTGTGAACCTCCATGTGCAGATTTCGTAGCAGGTGCAGCACTTTGTGAACCTCCAAGTGCAGATTTCGTGGCAGGTGCAGCACTTTGTGAGCCTCCATGTGCAGATTTCGTCGCAGGCACAGCACTTTGTGAGCCTCGAGGTGCAGATTTCGTGACAGGCGCAGCACTTTGTGAACCTCCATGGGCAGATTTCGTGGCAGGCACAGCATCTGGGGAGCTGAGAACTGGCGACCTTGTAGTACAACTTTAGTACGCAGAGCAATCTGTAGAGCTGGAAGCTGAGAACTGGCGACTTTCTGGTACAACTCTAGTACGCGGAGCAATCTGTAGAGCTGGAAGCTGAGAACTGGCGACTTTCTAGTACAACTCCAGGACGCGGAGCAATCTTTAGAGCTGGAAGCTGAGAACTGGCGACTTTCTAGTACAACTTTAGTACGTGGAGCAATCTGTAGAGCTGGAAGCTGAGAACTGGCGACTTTGTAGTA